CCTCTTTTTAAAGGGAAAGTAAAAGTAGTTGGACAATTCAGTCAAAGGTTATTTCATGGGCATTATCAGTTAAACAGATAAAAGACCTGGAGTTGAGGTGTGGTGCTTGCATTTGGAAGATTTTGCTGTGAACAGGCAACATGTGGTGAAAGGAGCTCTTCATGCAGGTAAAACAAACCGTCCTTAAGCTGTGAAAACAGAAAAACCCCATCTGAAAAATTAGGAGTGGCAAAATCTACAGTTTAGTACATCTTGAGAAAGAAAGATAGAACTGGTGAACTCAGCAATGCAAAAACACCTGGACGACCATGGAAGACGACAGTGGTGGATGATCGCAGAATAATTTCCATTTTGATGAGAAACTCCTTCACAACGGCTGACCAAGTGAACTACACTTTCCAGGAGGTAGGTGTATCGATATATCCAAAAAGAGAAGAGAAGAAGATAAAGAGGAGACTGCATGAAAGAATATACAGAGGGTTCACTGCAAGGTACAAGCCACTCATGAGCCTCAAGAATAGAAAGGCTAGATTGGATTTTAAACCATCTAAAAAGAAGCCAGCACAGTTCTGGGAAAAACCTTCTTTGGGCAGATGAAACCAAGATCAACCTCTACCAGAACCCCGTGTTTGCATGGGTTCTCTCCGGGTACTCCAGCTTTCTCCACAGTCCAAAGACATGGGGTTAGGTTAATTGGTAATTCTAAATTGCCCATGCGTGTGAATGTGAACATCTGTAAAACACAGCAGAGGCAGTGAGATGGCTTCAGCTGCCAGTGGGACACCAGTGTTTATTGATGATGTGACACAGAATGAATTCGGCGGTAATCAGAGATATACTGTCTGACATTTTATAATACAGATGAACAATGACCTAAAGCATTCAGCCAAAGCAAGAAAGTGGAATATTCTTGAATGACCAAATCAGTCACCTGATCTTGACCCAACTGAGCATTTCACTTGTTGAAGACTAAACTTCAGACAGAAAGACCCACAAACAAAAAGTACCTGAAAGCTGCTGCAGTAAAGGCCTGGCCAAGCATTAAAAAGGAGGAAACCCAGCATCTGGTGATGTCCATGAGGTCAAGACTTCAGGCTGTCGTTGCCAGCAGAGGGTGTTAGAAATGAACATTTTATTTTCAGTTATGTAATTTGTCTAATTACTTTTGAGCCCGTGAAGTGAAGAGAATGTGTTAAAAAATGTTTTAGTTCCTCACATTTTATGAAATGTGTTTGTTCAGCCCACTGAATCAAAGCTGCACTTCAACTGCATCTGAGCTGTTTCATTTAAAATTCATTGTTGTGATGTGCAGAACCAAAATCTGAAAAAAAAGTTGTCTCAGCCCAAGTATTTGTCAGCCTAACTGTATATAATAATCACATGTTTAAATAAATATTTATTTTAAAATAAAAAGAATAATTATTTACAGTACATTAAAGTAGTAAAAGACCAAATAATCCATGTAATAGCACACGTGTAGCAGCAATTACAATAACTAAAATCTATACTACCAAAAAAAAAAAACAATATTTTGACTATATAAAAATGTGTATAGATATAAATAAATCTATATAAGAACTGTAATGTATACTATTACTGCAGTACACCAAACCTGTCTCTTCATAACTCCTCCCACTCAATCAGTAGTTGAGTGACCAAACCTGGCATACAGGTACATCTTAGCCCCTGGAGGTTCTCGTCTATATCACACATTATGATGTCATCTTATGCAACCACCTAAATATTGAATACAGTGACAACCTGACCTGTGCAGGGGACCCAGACTTCTATACAGTCACTCCCATTTTTCATCTTTATTTAAATATAAAATCCATTTTTCCTTCTCAGTTCGGTGACACTCATGTGACCAACAGACCAAACAGAGCTGTAGCAGCTTTTAAGGTCCCATTTTTCAGATTGTTAAAATCTATTTAAATGTTAATAAATATTTGAGCAAACTGTCAACACATGAAGAAAACATTTTAAATTTCGTTCATTTTTATTTATATTTTTTTTCCAAATCTGAACACAGGCAGTACAAAGCTTCTGTCATTTTTTTTCCTTCCCCTTTTCAGAGGAAATGAGTTGTACAGTTAGTGCATTCGATCCTAAACTGATGAAAAAATAGATCTAAGAAGAAGAAGTGCTGCTACATAAGGAGATGATGAGGTAAATCTGTCCAGGAAGAAGAAACCAACAGATGAACTGATGCAGTGAGAGAAACGAACAAACAAACAGTCCACACGTTATTAATATTATTATCATTATGTACACGTCAGATGCATAGAATACTTTCAAATCCTTTTTTTCTTCTTTTTTTTCCCCCTTTTTTACATAAATACCTACATTTTCCCCCACAAAGACAAAAACTACCATTAGAATGAAAAGCAAAACAAACTGCTCCGGGATCAGCTGCTTCCTGCGCCGCCGCTCTGGAAAGCTGCCAAAATGTTCCTGCAGGAGTTTGAATCAAACTTTATTTTTCTCATTGTCACCACATCTCTTTAAAATGAGCCTGACATATTTCAAACACGCACCACCAAACATGTTTATGACCTCGTTTGAGTCCTGCTGCCACAAAAACTCACAAAATGTAGATTAATCCTGAACAAGTGCTTCGCTTTTCTTCTGCTTTAGGTGGATAACTACTTCCTGTTTTTGTTTTTTAAATAAAACTAATTTCCAAGTTTCATTGCTTTGTTTTTGTTTTTTTGTTTTTGTTTAGTTTTTTGTTTTTTGGGGGGGTAATAACTTGACTTATAACAGAGAAGACTTTAGATCTTAGTCAACATAATGAAATGGATTAATCCACTGCTGAAAATAGTCATTTTGACAATTTCACTATTTCTTGTCTCTTTTTAAATTAAAAAAGAAGACAAGAAATAAATATGTCTTCACACTGTTATTATCTTAGATTCTTATATACCTAAAATTTTATGTTTTCAATTGACTTTTCCCAACATGAAGACCTAAAAGTGCAGGGATAAAACCTTGTTAAGTTTTGTTCACAGATTTCACACCAGTTAAGTTCATGAATAAATATTTTTTGTGTAACTAAACACCCAAAAATAAGAGTCTGAGTCATTTTTACAAATCTGGATTAATCCACCGCTGAAAATAGTCCCTAAGAATTTACCTTTTCTGCCTGAGAAATTTGCTTTTATAACAATTTTTAGATTGTTTTAATCTAAAGATTTAAAAACTACTGAGGAAAAAAATGTATTTTAATCTTCAGTTGATGTTTAAATTTTTTTCACAACAGAGCAGAAAGAAAAGTTTGCGGAGTAATATATAAATATTTGAATTGGTTTTATAAACCCAGTCAAATGCAGACTCATTCAATTAAACAAAGGTTACCCATCAGTGTGCGTGACCTCCAACTCATTAATGAGTGTTTGTGTCGTGTTGTCAAAGGCTCAGGATAAACTCGGAGCTCAAGCTGATCAGATTTGTTGACAATAAGAAAAACATTTAATATTTGCAGATGTTTAAACTCTGCTCAGGTTTTCCTTCAGGGGGTTACTATAAAAACAGGAGACAACGGTTCGTCCAGCAGGACGTTAGCCTCAGTCTGTGATTACACCCTGTCTGCCGATGCTGGGCACATCTGTTAAACTTCATCTGCAGACACCTGAACGCCTCTCTGCAGACTAAGTTTGTTCCTCAGTCTCGGGTTATCACAAAGATAAAAACCAGGGGTGATGATGAAATGTAAAAATTTTAATGTGTCTTACTTATTTTTATCCCCAAAGCACAAAAAAGCCAAAAACGCCATCTTTTGATGACCCAGATTTACGTCTGAGGGTGTTTCCAGAATCCTCTGAGACACTCATTTTAAAGGTTTTTTCCATGAGAATATGAGGAATTCGTTTTTGAAAACTGATTTTTAATGACTGACCCGTTTTGGGTGTAAATGTGTGACCTTTTTTGGCTCTCAGCCCCGAGTTAAAGTCTGGAATGTAAAGACTGACACAAACCCCTTTAACATGGTATCCCTGCCCTCGTCATCATAAACCCCCTCCTGTCTGCCTCCTGGACGAACCTCGTCTCTCTGCTTTGCCCTCGTTCAGCTTGGTGGATTTCCTCCACCCGAGCGAGCGGCTGCCTTCTGTCGCAGACATACACTCAGAAGCCTTCATCCCGGCAGCGCCTCCTCTCACGTTAGTCTCTTTTTCTTTTTTTTAATTTCAGGACGGCGGCTTCGTTTGGCACCGCCAAGTGTTCAGTCAGCAGCTGTGACCACATTTCTACTTTTTTAGTTTTGCTTCTCAGAAACATCAAAGTTCAACTCTGAAAGGAAAAATGTCCGGGCGCCATCCAGGAAGGTCCGTGAGTCCTTGAAAAGGTAAGCTGTCAGTGTGTGTGTGTGTGTGTGTGTGTGTGTGT